ACTGAAAGGTCCCAGGTTCGATTCCGGTCAAGGGCATGTACCTTGGTTGTGGGCACATCCCCAGTAGGGGGTGTGCAAGAGGCAGCTGGTTGATGTTTCTCTCTCATCGTCGTTTCTGGCTCTCTATCTCTCTCTCCCTTCCTCTCTGTAAGAAAAATCAATAAAATATATTTTTTTAAAAAGGCTCAAGAGGCTCAAATACCCCCACCATCAGGACAGCATCTCAGCGACACCTCTGAATACAGAACTGCAGAAGTGGCTGCTGAGAGAACAAAGAGCTGAACGTGCTTGTAAAGGACCTACTCACAGGAAATGCACGTCAAGAATCAGCTGACTTCCCCAGACAGCGTGGACCTACGTCCCAACAGCACCAGTTCCCTTAGACGCCACACAACTCCTTCCCCCCAGGTCACTGCCGTCACATGATTTCATTGTGCATCTTGCCACTCCCCCAAAATGGGATGGTCTAACTGTCCATATTCATATGGACTTCCTGTTCCAGTGCGTTCTTTCCTGTTTCCACGTTTCATCAGAAGAAGGTGCCAGATGTACAGGTGAGGCCCATGTACAGGACTGCCAGGACAGCCTGAGGAAAGGTACCGGAGACGAGCCAGGAGATGTGGGGACCAGGTAAGACCTCGTCAGCCAGAGCAGCAGGCACGCCTGTCTCACTTAGCAGGGAGGCCGCTGGGCACACAGATGCTCCCAGCCCCTGTGGCCTGGGCCTGGGTGGAGGCTACAGAGCCCCCTGCGGGGCTCCCAAGGCCTGTCTTCTTCCTTCAACTTCACCCTCTGCTGGCGGATGAGCCTGGGTGTCACCCTGGCTGGTCCTCTGAGCTCAGCTGCTCTGGTTGGAAACCAAAGGCTGCGTTTTGGCGCCATCTGGTGGGTGATTCTGCTCCAGCGTCATTAATGACTGGGATTTTCCCCCCAGTTACAATGGCGCTGGAGCGAGACTAGAAGAGATTAGGACCAGGCTTTGTATCCCAGACGGGAAGGAGTGTCTGATCAGATAGCACCAAGCACAGCGAAAATGAGGCAGAAAACAGAAGATCTAGTTCGGGGAGCAGGCACATGAGTTCAGGGGGACTGACTGGGCAGGGGTCTCGGTCACTGCTAAGACTTCACCAAATGCCCCCGAGGGTCCCTGGAAGGGATGGCTGGGTTGGGTGCACTGGCTATGATTGGCCAGAGCTTCCAGGCAGAACCCCACCCACACTGAGCCCTCCTACTTGTGGGGCTTCAACTTAGAGAATTTCAGCGAGTGTCACTGTTCTGTATGACTTACAAGTACCTACTAATTTAATCCACACAGCAAACCTATTGATAAAGGATAACCTTTATGCCCATTTAAAGATGAAGAAACTGAGACATGAAAATGTCAAGTAACTTGCCCACGGCACTCGACCTGAGAGTGGGAGAGCCAGCAATCAACCCTGGGCAACCCGAGTCCAGGGCCCGAGCTTTATCTCCCTACCACAGCCTCATAGGGACGGCTGACTAAGGTGCTTCCTCTGAGGGCTGGGACCAGGGACCAGGATGGAGATGGAGGAAGCATCTCACCTCATCCCCCGCCATCTGTTTTGCAGAAAAAACACAGTGAGTGACAGCAAGCGCTGCCTCTGTAAAGATGCATCATCACACTTGCGTAATGATGCATAATTATCTCCTGTCACTCAAGAAGGTAGGAAAACCTTTTAAAAATCTGGACGTAAATCTGTGTTAATCCTTTCTTTTCTTTTCTTTTTTTTCTCGTGCTTTGATATCTTGGGTCCCAGGGTTCGCTCACTCCTTGGAGAGAGGAAGCTGCAGGAGAAAAGTATGAAGCTGGCAGAGGTCGGTTCATGAGATTTGAGGGGGAAAGCCGTCTCCACAACATAAACGTACAGGGGAAGCTGGTCCAGGCTCGTAAGTAGGAAAAACAGAATTAAAATCTAGGCCCACTCGACTCCCCACTTGTTGTTCAACATTTCCCAAGGTTATCCAAACCTCAGACGCTGCTGACGGGGCTGCTGCTGACGGGGCGGCAGGGAGGAGCGCGTAAGGGGTTAACAGGCCAGGCCCTTCCTGATACAGAGCTCAGAGCTCTGCCCACAGCAGGGAGCTGTCCTGGTGGGACCCTGAGTCCAGCTCGCAGCGCTGCTGAAGGGTGGCCTCCAGGTGGCGCCGTCAGCCCGTGGTTCCCCACAAGGCTCGTCTATTTCTGTTGGCCCACGTGTTCCACAGCACAGACCTCTGTGGGTCAGAGCCCCCGGCATTAGAAATCATGGCTAACTAACCTTCCAGCTTCCCAACTCACTCACGAAGAGACTTAACAACGAAACTGAAAAAGAGAACCAAGAAAAGGGACACCAACACTCTCTTGGTTACTCTCTGCCCAAGGTCCTTGCTTTTTCTACAATCACTTTCTTAGCCGAGAGAGGAGGCCTCAGGCGTGGCAAAGGCCTTAGAAGTACCTCATATTAACTTCCAGTTTTTAAAAACATGCACTGTTTTTCATAAGATACTTATGAAACAGAACGCTCAGGGAACGTGGAGAAGACGGAGGAACACGGACTGTGGGAACGATGGGCCATGTGAAGGCACATGAGCTGCCTGCCGGAACTTGGTGACTTCACACAGGACCAGGGAGTGAGGAGGAGGGGGTTCCTACCCCACCCCAGCTCTGAACACTCTCAGAGACCCGAAATAACCCTGGTCCCTCCTTCTCTGTCCCTCACACACGAGCAGGAGAAATGACACTGAACACGTCTGGAATCCAGCTGCCCCCACAAAAGCCACCAGGACTGGGGTAGAGACACAGGAAGATCTGGGGATAGGAAGCCATCGGTGTAAAGATCTAGAATTTTGCATTTTCCACGTGGTTTAAATAGGCCGGAAATCCAGGGAGCAGCTGAAGGAGGCGGTGAAAAGGCATAACTCAGGCGCACCTCCCGCCAGGACATGCAGAATGACTGAGGGCACTGGAATGCACGTGCCCTGGCCGTGACGTGAGCTAAGGGCAGGAAGGATGGGAGAGTTTGCAAAGCTTCCCTGGGGATTTGGAAACACCTTGCTCAACACACAAAGGTGCAACTTGGAAGACACAGGGGGTGAGTAGAATGTGAGCCCCACCCACATTCCCTTGGCTAAATCCCTGGAAAATGGGCCCTGTCAATAGCAGGTAGGTGAGAGCAGGGCCAGGGCCACCCACACGCCCCATCATCCACACGCCCGATCATCCACACGCCCATCATCCACACGCCCCCTCATCCACACACCCGATCATCTACACGCCCCATCACCTACACACCTGATCATCCACAGGCCTGATCATCCACACCCCCCTCATCCACACCCCCCTCATCCACACCCCCCTCATCCACACGCCCCCTCATCCACACCCCCCTCATCCACACCCCCCCTCATCCACACCCCCCTCATCCACACCCCCCTCATCCACACGCCCCATCATCCACAGGCCCCATCATCCACACACCGGTGCAGGACACTCTTGCTTGGCCCACCAGTCAGAAACTGGCTGCTAAACTTTAAAATAAAAACATAGCAGGTTCATCTAAAAGATCGAATGCAGTGGCACAGTTAAGACACAGGATAAGGTGAAACAGAAATGACGGGATACTTCTGCCAAGCACATGGCAGACGTGAAGGCAACATATGAAAGTATCCAATGAGAGAGGGTGCGCTAAGACTACCACCATGAAAACAGCAACTCAGACTGTGAGATGTTTTTAAAGTTTAACAGAGACCATCGCAGAGTTTCACAAACATCATCACTGAGCCACTGCCGGTTAAGGTAGAAAATGCCCAAAGCAATCCGGTAACATCAGCAGCCTCCGAACATGTACCGTGTCAACGACAGGCCCGCCCATCGATCCTGCTTTTACACTCATGCACGTGCGGAAACAGGCAGCACCGACGTTCATTACAGACTTGGTGGCAATTTCAAAGCACTGAGACGCTCAGGAAGAGGGCTCGGCTAATGAGCGGTACTTCATCCAACTAACGAAACTGCTCAGGAACGAAGCCAGCTCCCGGGAACTGATATGAAGAGCAAAGACCGTTCCCACGAAAGACAAGGTTTCCCAAACAATGCACAAAGCATGACAGCAATGTACATAAACATCAGTGTGTGTGGTGTGTGTGTGTGTGTGTGTGTGTGTGTGTGGTGTGTGTGTGGCATGTGTGTGTGGTGTGTGTGTGTGTGTGTGGTATATGTGGTATGTGTGTGTGTGTGTGTGTGGTATATGTGGTGTGTGTGTGGTGTGTGTGTGTGTGTGTGTGTGTGTTCAAGGAAGTAGCCCTTGCAGTTATCAAATAACGCCTGCTGATTGACAATCACTAGAGCCCAGTCCTCATGTGTTGTCACTGATGACTGAGGGCAAGTTGCCAGCTTCACCCCTGCAGCCTGGAGCTCAATCAGCCGAGGCCATGCAGAGCCGTGCTGGTGGCAAACGCAGAGGGAGGCAGATTTGCCCTCGGCTCAAGGTGTGTTCTGATTTGCAAGGTGGAAAAGAGACAGATCTTGGAGACGACTTGTTACTATTTGCATCAAGACAAAACTTTTAGGAAAATGTCTCTTACATCGATTTCCTTGTGCTTGATTTTCAGGAGACTCAATTCAATTCTGATATGAAATGATGGGTGTGAGCAACCCAACGAGTCCATCTGTCCCCCTCCCTCTCCCCCCCCCCCCCCCGTCACATCCCCCTCCATTCCAGATGGAGCCCTAGCGCCTCATGAAGCCTGGATGAGGTTGCGAGGCCCCGGGCCCACCGCGCACGGTCACACTAATCAGAGCTGGATAAACACGCTCTGCTCCGTATCAGTCACACTTGTGCAAGTTACTCCGCGTCGCTGTAGCCAGCAGGGCTGTGCACGTGATCCTGCTTAAACCAGCAAAACATCTGGAAAATGTGAAAATGATTCTAAGGCGCAAGCGGACCACAGGCTGGGAGGGCCGCCCGTGGAGGCGGACGGGCCGGGGCGGGCGCACTTACGATGAAGCCGAGTTTCTTGTAGTCGCGCGTGTACATGGACTTGCGCTTCTCCATGCTGCCGCTGCTGGCGTTGGGCTCCGGCTCCGCATCAAAGGCGATTCTTCGAAGTTCAAAGATGATGTCCCTCTGGGCCTGTGGGCGTGGGGAGGACAGAGCTGCTGTCACTGTGGCATGACGTCCGCGGCCGTTCCCTGGGCCCCAAGTCACTGCGTCCAGGAGCGACGGGGCAGACAGACGGGGGCGCTGTGAGTGCGGGCTCTGCGCCCCCTCCCCGCTGCCCCTCGCTGCGGCCGCCCTGGCCCTGCCACCTGCTCCGGGCCACGTCCCTGGGAGAACTCTCTCCGGGGTCTGGAGTTCTTAACGGAGCC